GAGACGAGGCTGCAACATCCTTACACGGTGCAGCCTGCAGCTTTAATGGGCGTCGCCACAGGGCGGCAGCAGAGTCTCGGGAGTGAGGGATTGGAACCCTTGTCTAGACTGATCCTGAATGCGAAATGGGGCTGCTATACGGTGTGCAGACTGGCTGTGAAGGGAAGAGCACTGCATTGTATATGGCCCAAGTTTGGATGAGCAGCTGGCTACTATAGCATATGTGGACCGACCCTGGGAACTATTAATTCCAATAAAACCCACATTTCATAATCTTTTCCTTCTGAAACCCGACTGTGAACTCGGGCAGGTTGCAGCTGTGCACAGTAACCGTTTCACTGCTGTGTTCCTATCGCGGCCAGAGAGCCTGAAACCATCGCAATGGTTAGTAGAGATGGGGATGAGACAGAAAGTTTGGAGCCAAAATGGCATTTGCTGTTGTTCGCATTTGCAGGCGAGTGAAGGAACCGAGGAATAGATGGTAGCCCAGTCGCCCAACCAGAGGAAGGGGAGAGGGTGAAGGAGATAGAAAGGGCGACAGGAGAGAGACACTGAAGGAGAAATTAAATGGAAAAAAACGTCATTAATGCAGAGGCCCGGTGACAGCACCCGCCCTTCCAGAATGCTGAATTCAGCCAAATTCAAACTTCTGCAGCCCAGGAAAGGGAGAGTTTGGGTGAATGTCCACACAACCCATCTCTGTGCCCCTGGAGCTGGCAGGTCCTTTGTTATTGTCGGCCGGTACTCCAGCTGTATTCATTGCTTTAGGAGTAGCTGTAATTGTGACCCGGTGTGCCTGGGGCAGCCCTCACTGGAAATGTCAGGACAGGCTGCAAAAAGAAGAGCAGATTCTCCCAAAACTGGTCGTTCACACTGAAGTTAGACTCACCAACCAGTTGCAAACTGCTCCTGATTCCCCACTCTGGTTATCTAGAAGCTAAAAAAGAAATCACACAACCCCCTTTACTGCATTCCAGTTCTCTGGCCTCCAATCAGCATCTAGGTCCAGTACAGTGAGAAGTCATTTAAAACCTCTGCTCACTATACAAAATGTTCTTCTGACCCCAAAGGGTCAGCCATGTCACCAGGCCAATATTAGTTTGGATCTTACCCAAAATACCACGCTGTCAGCCAGTCCTTTAGTGTCTGAAACAAAAGGTTTATTATAAAAGAAGAAGAGAGTTGTTAAGTGGTAAAGCAATCGGATATATACAAGACTACAAGGTCCATATATCAGGTTCCTACCAGTACTGGTGAGTTTGGCGGCTTGAAAGTCCCTCTGGAACAGATCCTCAGCTTGGATGGGTCGTTCAGTCCTTTGTTCAGAGCTTCGTTTGTAGAAAAGTTACCTCTGGAGTAAGAAGCAGGAATAAAGACAAAATGGAGAAGATGCAGCTGCCCTTTATATTCCTTTTGCCATGTGGTTGGTACTTCCTTTGTCCCAAACACAAACTTCACAGCACGTGGCATGGAAAAGCCTTAGAGTTCTGTCCATAGGCCTGCCCCTACATGTCTTGCTGACTCATAAGGTGTAGTCCCTGGCTTTTTTAATGGGTTCAGCTGATGTCCCTCGATGGCCCATCAAGCAGGCTTAGTTCTGATGCCAATCTGTCTGGGGGTGTCACCCAGAACCACGGCATGAGTTTTGAAATACAGATGTACCACGCATATCTAGAACTCACAGTATACAAAGGTGATACAAACATACAAACAACATTATTGCCTGGCAAATCACTGACACCTTACACGGCATATCTGGCACGATTCATTGCAACTTTATAATATTGGTATTATTAATAATATCAAATGTCTCACAGTTCCATACAGTGTCGCAGTACTGAGTGGAAGTGTGTGGAGGAGTTTGGCAGCACAGTGATTGTGCTATGAGGTGATCTGGGGAGCTGTGGTTCTCTGGGGTCGGGGTGTGTGTGAGTCTCTCTCCCCAACCTGTGGGATATGAGGAAAGAGGTGCGTGTGGACCTGGAACAATCCAGCATGCCTGATTTCAGCACTGCACCGTCACTAGCAGGGCATAGGGGCCATCTTGCCAAGGGGTGTGTCAGCAGCTAGGGGGGAGATGTGTGCGGTGTGAGTTTAATGGAGGGGAAGTAAATGGTATTGTGCGCTCCAGGGCCCTAAAGGGGCTGAAGGAGTTGTATCACTGAGTAGCTGTGGTGCTCTCCTGTGGGGCAGACTAAGTGTAGGGAGCTCCTGGCCCGTACAGGGCCAAGGCAGAATGCGTGAAGGGTGCACGGGGCAGTCACTCAAAGTTCGGCTGTGTGGGCAGGTACCATAACTCTGTATTTGCTGGTTTTCACGAGTTGGGCTTGGCTGAACTCAATGTTCTGGAAGGGTCCGGGGCTGGGCACTGGTAGGCTGGGGAGGGGAAGGTTTGGGGCGAAGAGCTCCTGGGAGCTGGGAGGACTGTGGGGAGGGGGTTACCGTAGAGCAGGTGCTCTGGAGAGTCACGGTGTCGAGGAGGGCTGGACAATGGGAGGCATTCAGGACAGGAGCTCTGAGGAGGTGGCAGGCTGGTGGTGGTGTGAACAAAGGGAGGCAGTGCAAGCAGTGGTGGTGCTGGTGGGAGGCAAGGAAATTTTTGTGGGGCAGGAGCTCCTGGGAAGTGGGAGTGGGGAAGGCTTGGAATAGTGGGAGGGTGGGATAGAAAGCGGTTGAGGACCTGGAAGTGAAGGGGGTTGGGGCCGGGGGAGGAGAACACAAGGAGTAGGTGCTGTGGTCCCAGGATGTGAGGAGGGCGGGGGGAGGGGACTGTGGAGGAAGAAGACTAATGGCCACCAGGGAGGGAAGGCAGGTTGGGGGGATCTGGGGTTGGGGGAGTCCCAGCCCATGAACACAGAATCTCTGCCCAGGCCCCGTTGCTTTGGAACCTACCCTCCATTTTTTTAGTCCACTTTCACTTTCTTTTACGTATTTTTTATATTGTTATAACTCTTGTCCTCCCTCCACTGCTCGCTCCTCCCCCTGCCCACCTCGTCCCTACTCACTGAAACCCTGGACACTTCCTGCATTTCATCCCTGCCATGGGACAACCCCTTCCCCGGCATAAAGGGGCACTTTCTTGGTGATGTCACAGGATGGTAGCAAGACTTCAGGGAACTCAGAGGATCTTGCTTCCCCCTCCCCATCTGCAGTAGCCACAATCTCTCTTCCCCCAGGCTCCCTGGATCTTTGAGCTGGTTCCTCTTTAGGTCACGTGACCTGAGTCTTATTTCTCGCGTTCTCCTTTTCCAGAAGAATTACAGTCTGTTTCTCCCAAATTCTAATTCCCTCTCCCCTCCCTGGGGGATTTTCATACTCTCCTATTACACGGAACTCGATAGAGTCCGTAATTCCCCAGAATGTATTTTCTTGACAGCTAATAACCCTGAGCTGCTGCATTTGGTGCTGACGACATTCCTCCCGCGTGCTGAACCCAGCCAATGGTCCCCGTTTCCTGCGGCCTCTGCTGGTCACCGGACACCTCTTTTGGTGAGAAGAGCAGCCAAGGCCACTCCTCGCTCTGCAGTCTCCTCTTTCGGGGACATACAGTTGCCTTCTCTGTTTTAGGATCCCCTTGATGATGAGTGTCTGGCTGTGTGTGTTCCCAGCAGAGATGGAGATGGTTACATTCCCCCATTAGCAGTGTCCTGCAGCTTTGGGCACTTGGGATTTCACTGGTTTAGAATGAGCTAGGGTTAAAACCACACAACCTTGTCCCACAAATTCACCTGCCCTCCCTTGTTTTCTTTCCCCTGAGCAGGGTTTCCAGTTTCCAAACCTGATGGTGTCTCCCAGCTGGAACAAGGGGAAGAGCCGTGGGTCCTGGGTCTCCAGGGCTCAGAGGAAAGAGAGATCCAGGGAGGTGCCTGCCGGGGTAGGAATCAGTTCAACTAACTCAAAACTTCTTGGTGTCTGAAGAAAAGAGCTGGGATTCCCTCCAAAGACCTTGTGAACTCTAAGTTCAGGGTTGTCCCCAGCATGTGATACGTCCTCATGAAGGAGGTCACAGCTTCCCACCCATCCTCACTGACATCTGGCATAGCTCCCTCCCCAGTCTCCCTTGCCCCTGAGCGTTCACATGGGATGTGGAGGCAGAACGGGGATCCTCTCTCTTCTCTGGGGAAAGATGGGAGGGGTTCAGCTCCTGCAGTCCCTCCCCCCCATCTCTCCAGCAATTACTGTCGTTTGTTTCCCCCTTTCCCCATCCCCTAGCTGAGGTTTCCTTTCAGCCCAGCACCTGGATTGACTCTCGCCTGGATTCTCTCTCTCTATCCCAGCAGGCGAAGGGGCAGTGAGTAAGAGCAAGGAGGAGAATCTTCAGCAGAAAGATCACGAGCTAGTGGAATCATCCGGGATGTTTTCAGAAAGATTTGAAGGGAATATTCACTGGAGTCGTGAGCGGAGAAAAGCTCATGAGAGTCAGCAGGGAAATCAGCCAGGGCATGGTTGGGGAAGTGGCCAGGACCTCCAGGAAACCACAGCCCAGCAGAGAATTCCCCCAGGAGAGAGAAAAAACACCTGCACGGAGTGTGGGAAAACCTTCAGTAGTCGCTCCAACCTTATTACACACTGGAGAATCCACACAGGAAATAGACCGTATAAATGCTCAGAGTGTGGGAAAAGCTTCAATCAGCGTTCAAACCTTATTAAACATTGGCGAATCCACACAGGAAATAGACCCTTTAAATGCCATGACTGTGGGAAAAGCTTCACTGACAGCTCAAACCTTACTCAGCATCAGAGAACCCACGTGGGGGAGAGACCCTATAGATGCTCAGAATGCGGGAAAAGCTTCACTCGGAGCTCCGACCTTATTAGACATGAGACAATCCACACGGGAGACAGACCCTTTAAATGCTCCAAGTGCGGGAAAAGTTTCAACGACCGCTCTAACCTTATTACGCATCAGAGAACCCACATGGGGGAGAGACCTTATAGATGCTCGGAGTGCGGGAAAAGCTTCAGTGTGAGCTCCAGCCTTATTACACACTGGAGAATCCATACGGGAGAGCGACCCTATGAATGCTGCGAGTGCGGGAAAAGCTTCACTCGGAGCTCAGACCTTATTAGACATGAGACAATCCATACAGGAGACAGACCCTTTAAATGCTCCAAGTGTGGGAAAAGCTTCAATGACCGCTCCAACCTTATTAGACACCAGAGGATCCACAAAGGACAGTAAACTCATTGACTAGGGCTGGCCAAAGATGCTTTTGCTAATTCCTACATAGAGATCTTTAAGGGTGTTTGCACCGTTGTGTCACTGTGCGCTCTCAGCTGCCCCACTTTTGTGTTTGCAGCTCACCCTTCTTTGGGGTGAATCCCAGGGCCCCTTCTATCAGCCCCTTTGTCCTGGTAGTGAAGGGGATGGTGTCCCCCACCTGCCGGGAATATCCATCAGCCCCGTGTGGGGAGATAGCAGTGACTTCGACTAGCTACGTTGAGATATAATCTGCCTAGGCCATGTCTCCACTGGGATTTTCCATGGAAATAATTAGCCCAGGTTAGCTCTCATAGACTCATAGACTTTAAGGACAGAAGGGACCATTATGATCATCTAGGCTGACCTCCCGAATGATGCAGGCCACAAAGCCGTCCCAACCCTTTCCCTTGACTCTGCTGTTGAAGTCCCCAAATCCTGTGGTTTAGAGACTTCAAGTAGCAGAGAATCCTCCAGCCAGCGTCCCCTGCCCCATGCTGCGGAGGAAGGCGAAAAACCTCCAGGTCCTCTGCCAATCTACCCTGGAGGAAAATTCCTTCCCGACCCCAAATATGGCGATCAGTAGAACCCCGAGCACGTAGGCAAGACTCTCCAGCCAGACCCTCATTGCTCATTGATACTATTTACCAGCGATGGCACACTGTTCATTTGACCAAAATCATGTTATCCCATTAAACCATTCCCTCCATAAACTTATCTAGTTTAATCTTAAAACCAGACAGGTCCTTCGCCCCCACCGTTTCCCTCGGAAGGCTGTTCCAATATTTCACCCCTCTGACGGTCAGAAACCTTCGTTTAATTTCAAGCCTAAACTTCCCCACGGCCAGTTTATATCCATTCGTTCTCGTGTCCACATTAGTACTGAGCTGAAATAATTCCTCTCCCTCCCTGGTATTTATTCCTCTGATATATTTAAAGAGAGCAATCATATCCCCCATCAGCCTTCATTTGGTTAGGCTAAACAACCCGAGCTCCTCGAGTCTCCTTTCATACGATAGGTTTTCCATAGAATCATAGAATATGATTCCATTCCTCTGATCATCCTAGTGGCCCTTCTCTGTACGCGTTCCAGTTTGAGTTCATCTTTTTTTAAACATCGGAGACCAGAACTGCACACAGTACTCCAAATGAGGTCTCACCAGCGCCTTGTACAACGGAAGCAGGACCTCCTTATCCCTACTAGATATACCTCGCCTAATGCATCCCAAGACCGCATTGGCTTTTTTCACCGCCACGTCACATTGTCGACTCATGGTCATCCTGCGGTCTACCAGGACTCCAAGGTCTTTCTCCTCCGCCGTTACTTCTAACTGATGCGTCCCCAGCTTGTAACTAAAATTGTTGTTAGTCATCCCTAAGTGCATCACCTTACACTTTTCACTGTTAAATTTCATCCTATTTCTGTTACTCCAAATTACAAGGTCATTCAAGTCTCCCTGCAGAATATCCCTATCCTCCTCCGAATTGGCAATACCTCCCAACTTTGTGTCATCTGCAAACTTTATCAGCCCACTCCTACAATTGGTTCCGAGGTCAATAATAAATAGATTAAATAAAATCTGTCCCAAAACCGAACCTTGAGGAACTCCACTGGTGACCTCCCTCCAACCTGACAGTTCACCTTTCACCTCCTGATGTAAAACATAACGATTCCTGCAGTGCAGCCACAGCCCATAGTGCCCGGCATTATCTAGCATGTTCCCCCTGGACCTGACTTAACCTCCATCACTTTTCCTAGCCTAGACAAACCCTGGGCATCACTGTCCCCTGCGGTCAGCAGAGTGATTGTCAGAGGCATTGAGTTCCCCCTTGGGGACAGATTGGCTATGTCTACACTCCAAAAACTCCTGCAGCCGCAAGTCTTCGAGTCTGCCTGGGTTTACAGGCGTGGGCGTATGCTACAGACCTAAAAATAGCCAAGGAAACAGATGAGACTGGAGCTTGGGCTCTGAAGCCTGGGGACGGGGCTTTTAGCGCTGTAGCATGAGCCGGAGTCGAGAAACTGAGGATCTGAGAATCGCTGCCACTTTTTCCTTTTTGGGCAGTGTAGACATATCCATAGAGTTTATTCTGCCCGCATTCTACTGCTCCACCTCCCAAAGTGTCACGTGATGCAACATTCTCAGCTCCCTGATTTAGGGTCACATTGTGATACCTACGTGCAGACCCGTTAGGGCGGGAGCTGAAAGAGACGCAGACCCGGAGCAGGAATTGGAATGGATCCCAAACACCGAGTAATTGTTCTATGCTTTCATCTGCGTTTCCCACAACCGGCAAAGCTGCTTCTGGGCTTTTTCCTGCTCAGCTGGGATCGTTGCTGAGGGAAAGTTTGGCTGTTTTTCTCCATTACGATGATGCTAAAACGTTTGTAAATTACCTGATTCAAAAATCATGAGATGGCACTGAGTGAAGCACATTTGAACGGATCAGAGGACAACACAATGGGAGAATCTGTTGTCCTGATTCTGAGTCATCAGATGTAGCCTGCTCTGCAAGTTCAGTTTCTATGAAACTGAAAGTGTCTTATCCCCCTTGGTATTGTCAGTTTCTCTCTCTTTCCTGAAGGCCATTTAATCACATCACTGGAAGGCAGTTTTGTTAAACAGAATGTAGCTCGGATTTAGTGGGGACTTCGAGACAAATGACCATTTGCTAAAATAGTCATTTATTTATTTTTGTTTTTTCCTTGCCCCTCCATGATGACGTGGCCCACGGGGGAAGTTCACGTGCAGTTCAGTCATCAGGAGAGGTCATGCTTCAACCTATTGGACATGCTACCATGGAAACAGTAGTGTTTGAAAATCTCCACTCCGAGATGGTAAATAACAGCACACCCCAAACTAACTGAAGTAACTGACTACAATCACACCCATGTTCAGCTGGTTACGGCGGTATCGTTGCCGATGGTCTGGGAAGAGAATTCCAGAGTAAGTGACTTAGAGCTAGGGAAAATAACCATTTATTTCGTTCCCAAAGTAGTTGAGGCCCAGGCCCTTCACATTAGGAAGATATTTCCTTCCTAATCAGGTGCATGTTGCCTGTGTTTTGGGAAACTGTCCCCATCTGTGTAGGTGTGGAGGAAATGGAAGTGGCATTTTTGCTGAACTTACCCTTTGTACGTGGTGCAGATGTGTATAAAATGAACTCAGTGTTGAATGTGGGGTAGTTGCGGAATAGTGATTTTTGAATAGATACCCCACTTTTGGTGGCTTGCAGGGATTCTGATGCAGTCCCTAATTTAGACCTGTGCCACCAGATTAAAGAAACAAATTGTACATGTTTGGGGAAGCTTTTCCTCAGTAACACTGCTGAGATTTTGGGTGGTTTGGTAAAGGATTCTACTCCAGAGAAGTGTAAATTTACCCTGACCAAGGCCAAGGATTTGGCAAGCACTCAGTAATAGCAGGTACCAGTGGTTGGTTTTCACCTCAGAGAAGGACTCTGTGGTGGCCCAGGTAAAACTGTGTTTAGAACACCTCTCCCTAAGTTAATGGCATTGAGTAAGGTCCCTGAGGATGCCATAGATAAACCGGGAACAATTGTCCTTTACCAAAAGGCAAAGAAAGAAGCAGTTAGTGCCTTCAAAGGACATTCCTTCCTCATGGATCGCAGTCTGGCGCCATTGGTGGACAACAAGGACTTTCATGCCGTGTAAGTGATGATAACCACTGAGGGAATGGATGTGTTAGATTCCAAGTGCAGACAGCTGGATACATAAATGTGGATTCTCTGCTTTTGTCTCTTAGTTTTGCCCTTGTGCTTTATGCATTTGCATCACTTCTTCTTCATGTCCTGCTAATTTGAAAGATTAGAAAGTGTGAAAATAGAGTAGAGGTGCTTGTTCTCATGATGTAGACCTTCCCACATAGTGTGAGACCCCTTTCACCAACATTTATAGCAGAAGACCAAGAGATAAACCAATTCAAAGAAGTGGAAGACACCTATGTTGACACAGAATGCAACTTTACATGAGACTCACTTGATAGAACTGGGAATTAAGAGAAAACTAACACATATAAGATTTTGCAATCTTTGAATATGTTATTGTTACCAATGGAAATGAAATTGAACATTATTGGTTAAAGAGTAAGACACTAATTTTGTGATAACATGAATTATACTGGAACACTGCAATTTTATACTGGTTCTCATTTACTGTAGGAAATGGTGACTAATCTTTTAAAGTATATTTGATGTAAGATACATCCTTTGGACTAATGAGTTCTGAAGAAAAACCTCACTTCAAAGGTTGGAATGGGGGGATACGAGAGAGAAATAGTGTATATGAGAGTACTGACCCAGTGTTTTACTTCAGATAGAATTTATTTTGACAAGCTCTAAAGCAAATTTTCTGTTAAGTGGAAATTGCTTAAGGAGACATGTAGTATAATCTTTTACCCAGTTAGTCTGTAAGGGTACGTCTTCACTACCCGCCGGATCGGCGGGTAGTAATCGATCTATCGGGGATCAATTTATCACATCTCGTCTAAACACGATAAATCAATCCCCGAACGCGCTCCCCATTGACTCCAGAACTCCACCAGAGCGAGAGGTGGAAGCGGAGTCGACGGGGGAGCCGCGGCCATCGATCCCGCGCCGTGAGGACGGGAGGTAAGTCGAGCTAAGATACGTCGACTTCAGCTATGCTATTCTTGTAGCTGAAGTTGCGTATCTTAGATCGATTTCCCCCCCCACCCTCCAGTGTAGACCAGCCCTAAGGGTCATTGAGTTCCCTACTTCTCTTGTTTGCAAAGCAAAGGCAAGACATCTGTCATGAGATGTGATGCTTTCTCAGGGTGTCCAGAACTGTAAGTCACCCCTCTGCGTCTGGTGGTGCTAACCAAAGTGACAACTCCTTCCCACTCCAGTTTGTTAGCCAGCCCCATAGATTCCACAGGATGCCACCAGTCCTAATTTTGCCTGCCAGGTTAACCCTTGTACTTGAGTCCCCAAACTCTCCAGAAGCATCTCCCTGCAGCCTCCAACCCCTGGTCACTGTCACAATTACCAAGTTCGCTGTCTCTAGAGAGAGTGTACCACCAGTTTGCGTGATTTAACCAGGAATTCATACTGTGTTTTAATATAATAGCACTGACATGCTTATGATAAAACAAAGAAGATTATTAACCGAGGACAGAAATTTAAGGGATACTAAGCAAGAATAATAGAGACAGCAATGGTTACAAATCAAACAAAAGCATAACATGCTTCTAAGTGATTAAAACTTTAACAAGCTAAAATCCTTGACTAAAATAAGTTTCTAACTAAAGAAACCTTTTAGCATTACCCACTGTGATGGAATACACCCTTACACACTATTGTAATAATCTTTGTACAAGGTGAACACTCATAACTTGAGTGTTCCTGCTCAGGAATATCATGGTAAAGTGCATATAGTATTATTATATGTAAAG